TATATATATATATATATATATATATATATATATATAAAGGAGAACATATGTGGAATGATTTAGGGTACATGAAATGTCAATGGCAAATAAATCTGACAGATGATGTCTAGAGGCCAATAGAAGAAGGAAATAAGTCTTAAGGGATAAGTGAAAAATTGAACACAAAGACAGAGGTTCAAACAGAGGCAAAGTAAGACAGTGAAGAACCACACTGACAATCTGGAAGGAATGCTCGACGAGGAGGGAAAACGAATCCAGAAGGAATGCAACAATAGGGAGAGGGTAGGAAAGGTACAAACTTTACAACACCAGGAAAAATGAAGAGTGTGGAATAAGGCAGCCCAATAACCCACGATCAGAAAAATTTTAAATGTGGAATAAGACAGCCTGATAACCTGTGATCAAGGAGACCAAAGACCCCTGATCAAATAGCCAAGTGAGTAAGTCCATAAGAAGAGGAACAGTGGGTCATGCAGGAGAAAACCCCAACCCAAAGACCAACAGTGGAAAACATTCCACTTCTGTTGATAAACATCCATAGAGGAAGGGCAAATAGAAAAACTAAAAATGAATGAACATGCCAGAACAATCTAGACCAGATAAAACCAGGCATGAAGATAGAGGATATGAAGGGCTGGATAAAAGAAGAAATGTAGCAGGAATGGAGTAAGAAGACGAGGTAATGGTAGAGTAGATTGGAGCTGGAGTAGCCACGGAAACCATGGTTGTGCCAGCCAGTAAGGAGCAAACAGAAGGACTTGACACAGAGTGGCATGGATGATCAAAATCACCTTGGAAATAATATGGATGTGAGGATACACATAAAGGTATTTGTTGGTCAAATCCTGACTGAATGCATCAACATCCAGTGCAAGTGGATGAGGAATCAGAGACCAAAACAGAGGTAACATGGTATTGAGGGATGTGGCAAATGCATCCAGGTGAGGAGTACCCCACTGAAGGCATAGCCACTGGAAAATGAGAGGTTCAAGAAACCACTCCATTGGATAAACTTTACTGGGATGGGAAAGATGATCCGCAACCAGATTGAAATCACCCAGAACATGGCATGCAAGGAGACAAATACTGAGCATGTGGGCCCCAAAAAAAGGAGATCAAAGATCGACCACAAATGGAATGAGAACAGGTGCTGCCCTGGTGATTGATATAAGCCACAACCATAGAATTGTTGGAATGATCAGATGATTCCTGGCAAGATGAAGAAAATGATCCAAAGCACAATGTACAGCCAGAAGCTCCAAGATGTTGATATGGTAAGATTGCTCGACAGGAGACCACAGACCTGAAGCTTCCTGCTGATTGACCCATGCCCCCCAAACCTGGAGGGAAAGTATGTCAAGCTTTGCAATCTGGATGAAGGGAAGGAAGTAGAACACTTACTGATGTGTAAGCCTTGTCCAACCACCAATGCAGATTGTCAATAAGGGAAGGAGGAAAGGAAATAGGAATCTCTAATGGATCCTGTGCAAGGTGCCATTGGTTGTGTAGAGTCCACTGAAGAGATCTCATATGCACTTGACCCAAGGGGATAAGGGCTTCCTGGGGACTCAAGGGGGGTCGAAGAGGAGAAGGTTGGTCCAAACTGAGATGAGTGTTGAAAAAGACACCCAAGTGGACAAAATATTGGGTATATATATAAGGAATGACTTCTCCAAAGTGATTTACCAACACATGAGCTGCCTCCAAGAGCAGAAGATGAGTATGATGGGCAGACTCTTGTTTGGAATGAGCTAACAGAAGCAAATCATCCATGTAATGGTGTAAGAGCAACCTCTGAGCATGCATATGTTGGGCAAAAGCCTTTACCACTCAACAAAAGATATTCAGGGAGGAGCAAGCAAGAATGGGGGGAGCAAAATTAACAAACTACCCTGTGTTGAACAATATGAAGATAGCACTTCGACAGACGAGATACTGGAATATGCAGAAAGCATCCATGACATCTACCTTGATCATCCATAAACCTGGAGAAAAAGCCCACCTGAGGGTAAGAAAGGACTCCATGGTAAATCAGGGCAGAACCAAAAATTTATTGAGGAGAGACAAATCAATTACAAGTTGCCAGTCTCTGGTTTTATTGGGTACCACAAACAGCTTTGAATAATAAACTGGAGCAAGGATGAGTTACAGGTTCATTAGTTTTTAGGAAAGAAGATTTTGTATGGCTTCAAACAGATGTTGACTGGTGGTAGGATCCTGAGGCAATGGAAAGGATATAGGTACCTGAGACAACAGAGGAGAGGAAAGGAAGTAAATGACAAGTTTCTCAGATAATACCTGAATAACCCACAGATCTACGACAAAATCAGTCAAGCAAGTTCTAACTGGACCAGAACTCATCAGGTAGTCACTGGTACTGTTGGCGACGTGTCCATCTGCGTTTAATAATACAATGAAAGGAGAAACCCCCTAGAGAAAATAACTGGTAAGAGCTGGGAAGGAGTAGGAGAGAAAACAGTAATAGGGACTTGTCTAGGCTGTGAACAAGACAAACGATCAACCAAAGATGAAAGGGTTGATTGTTGTCTCACTGATTCAACACGGGATTCCAAAGTCTCAGGAATAATTTTGAAAACAGACAACTGGAGAAAAGTATGTCCCAGATGTAAGTAGGTGGTAAACAAACTTGGGACAATAGAGCATCCTTCTCCAGAAGATCCCAACACCAGAGAAACCATGTGTGTAAGGAAAGAGCCGAGGAAGACAAATGTGCCAACGTGGAGGTAATCAGAGAAAGGCTATCCCTCGAAATACCCTCAAGATCTCGATGGAGTGCATTGGAAAAGAGGTGGATAGTAGACAAATACCATAGGAGACTCAATAGGGTAAAACAAAGGTGGGAAAACTGTGAGTGGGATGAACAAACAGGAGGATCAGGATCTGCACCCCACACACGCAAAATTTATTCCAACTGTTGAGAATCAAGAAATGGAAATTCAGCCTGATGGTAGGCCAAAGCAAACTGATTTGAAGCCAGTGGAGTGTGAGGCATGCTAGCACCCTCAACCATGTGAAAGACAAAATGCTCTGCATGAACCCTAACATCCAAGGAAGGTGGGGACACAAAATACTGAGAGGAGGGGGTAACAAAGAAGGAAGGGGATTATAAGAAACTGGGGAAATAGATAAAACAGAAAACATCCGAGAAATCATATCTTAAAAAAAGCTGCATTTGGCCAAGCTGATTCCACAGTAGGGGCATAGGAAGACACGGCAAAATGAGGTGGAGGAAAAAGCTGTCAGATTCCTCATCGACCCAAACAGGTTTGGCATGTTCAAGAGGAATATGTACAACATCAGGAGAAGAGGTTCACTCAAAAAACAAACAATCTCATGGTGGATGAAAGCCAATAATTCCATAGCCGAGTTACCCCTACCTGCAGCCTGTGTGCTGGTAGAAGTGGTAACTTGGACTTCATAATTCATTGTTAACAATAAATGGTCAAACACAACAGTGTTAGAACAGTCCTTGAATTATTCTTTCTGGTACTGGTGTTTTGAGATTATTGCAGTGTTTCATTATTTGAGAAGGCTAGTTTGTTTGTATTCTGATCCATTACATTACCTCTGCTAACATAAATAACTATTCTCGTTCAGTGATGCTCTCTATATGCAAAAATTTTTTTCACATGCCACAACCCTTGAGCTCCCACATACCCAACAATCAATATGGTTCAACTGTGTCTTGCATGTTGATCATCGTGTGACAACCCTCCACCAATAGGAGTGTGATACACCCTCCTAATTCATGTGACTCCCTCTATTCGATTCTGCAGAACTATCACTTCTCATTTGGCAGGGCTCTTGTCAAGACTTTTTTTTTATTGTGCTCTTAAATTGTTTTTTTTTTTTTACAAATTAACTCTGAAGTAGAATTGTTCTTTTTCAATTTTAGAAAAGTTCACAAACTTCAAGATAATTTATTTTTCCCAGTTTCATTTTTTTAAAAATAAACATATTAATCTGAATATTATGCTCTTAGAATAAAGCTGTGGTAAAAATCCTTAATGATAAAAATAACTTTTATGATTGAATTGTTATGTACAAAAGATGTGCGGACTTTTCTAGTTAAACAATCCAAAGCAAAAATGCAAATGCATAATCTCTGGTTGCAAGTTTACTATAGGTTATAGAAATTTGTAACTTTGGGCTATGACTTGTAGGTTAACATTCAGCCAAAAGCATAAAGCAAAAACACTTAAATATGAACCATATAATATATAATCAAAAGGCTTTCAAAAGTTAAAATAACTTCAATAAGAAATATAGGCATTTTTATACATAAAAAATATATCCTTATTCTTACAGGCAAAATAATGGAACTATAAATTCAGAAGACAACTGGTAGGATAATTTTGGGGATGGAAAGGTTATCTTATGGGGCTATGTTAAGATAACTTTTTTCTCTTGATGAAAGAATGTTAAGAATGATCTTATTCAAATTTACAAAATTATTTAGGGGATATAAAAAATGAAGGCCTCTGATTTCTTTGTGCTATATTCTGAAGACAGTAGATGAGAGGACACAAGTTTAAGATTTGTAAAAGATAAAATAGACTTCAGCTAAGACAGTTTTATTTTTTAACAAGGTTTATGGAATGAGCTGCCATTAGCAATAACAGAGTCCAGTACTGTAAAAAGAGTTTAAAAGGAAAATCAACAGTTTCCTAAGAAATGAAACAAAGGGTGGGTTTAAGCACTTACTTTTCTTAAGGGTGAGCATGAAGGGACAGCCTTGAAGGACCAAATAGTCCGCTGTTGTCCATATATTATGTTAAGTGTTAGTACAATACATATTGTATTTTTCACTTACCTTTCCAGGAATAAAACAACACAAACCCATTTCAACATACTTCATGAAAGTCATGCTTAGTAGAGACAGCCTTGTTTCAACTGCTGTTAAAATGTCACAATGACGTGCAAGTGGGTGATTTCTTCGTTCAGACTCTCTTCTTGGTAACTGTGCCTTAACATTTCTGAGGCACCGAGCATGGAACTTTTCAACCTGAATAAATCCTACATTCAGGACATGCTGACAACACCTGTTAAACTTCTTGCATACCTTTAAGGAAAGACAAAAAATTGACAGCAGACTCAATAATGAAATAATTCGTTATTATTAGTTTTATTTTTGTAGGAAACTTTAGATACATGATTTGAGCATATTTTATGTCAACAATTTTTAGAAATAATTTTATAAGTAACTTAAAATGAAATACTATGTATATTCAGTGATGGTCTAATGGTAAGCAACCTAGGCAGTTGCCTAGAGCAATATATTGTGGGGGTGGGCAGATGTCAAACTGGAAGTCAGAAGGAGGGGGGGGGGTCGAGGAATTAGCAGGAAGAAGGAATGGTGGAGAGAATGACCATTTCCCTAGAGAAAGGCATACACACTGGACAACATCATACCAGCACTCCCTTTGCAGAAAATAAAATATTTAGAAAATAATAATCAAACTTTAATGGAATTTTTAAAATACTGAATACAAGATTTTAAACTAAGAAAATGCTGATGATTATAACATGTAGTTAGGATTGTCTTGAAGTAGAGCTAAAGAAAATAAAACTTGTATTTTTGTGTGATATGGAGATGGCAATTTAAATATTAGCCCATATCTAAAAATCATCTTTGAACATTCTTTTGTATATTTTAATTTTCTATTAGCTTTTCTTCCCTCTCCTTCTCTTATTACTAAGATACATTCCAAATATTACAATAAAATGTTAGTATTTAGTGATAAAATGTTTCAAAAATAATACTTACTGAAAAGTACAATTTTTTAAAGTATAATTATCAATATTCCTGATGCAAGGACTACTTTGACCATGCTGTTTTCATAAAATAAGAATATAAAGACGCGTTACTTGTGACATACAGATGATCTCCAAAAAGAACTTTAAACTGAACAAAGCTTTTCAGTTTTGAAACTAAAAAAGAGTTTATTTTTAATTCCCATGTGTGTATGTAATCTTAAGATGTAATACAGTGTACATTATATTCATTACTTAAAACATCGAGGAGCTTATCCAACTTGAACACTATTAATGTACAAAGTAATGTTCTAACTTTTTCACATAAAAGATATTTCTCAAGCAAATCTGGATAAGAATTATAATGTAAAGGAAGATTATTATTTCTACATAACTGCTGTAGTTGACTCTCCAGTTATATTTTGGTGCCAAAAATTGATATAAGACATTTATTTTTTAAAATACTTCAAAATTTTGCTATTCCAAAAATTGGTTAAGAAAATCCAATTAAGTTTTAGCAGGCTAAATGACTCAAAATGATATAAACAGAAAGGTTTTAATGTTTTGTGCTTAAGTATAATTAAAAATAAATAAATTTGAATAATTCACAAACACCAAAATTATATCCTGAGAGAAAATTAAAATATATCAAGCATGTGTGTGAAAATTTTTATCACCCAATACTCATTTGTGTAAAATATTTGATAATGTGTACAAATACAATTACTGAATTCTTTTTCAAGAAAAACAAAAACACTATCAGCATTCTGAGTTCAATTTATATATATAAGTAAAATACCACTTCACTATGCCTCAACTTAGAAATTGTTTGGCCAAATTAGGTTTATTTTACCTTCAGAAAAGGGTTGAAACTCTGACCCAGATAAGCTTTAAATAAAATGTTGCATGTTCTTGATTATTGTTTTATTAGTTTACACTTTGAAATCAGTATCTGCATGGTAATATCTGTTCACATTCATATTTCAAATATTTTGATTCATTACTTGTTAATATGCGCATGTGTGATGCAAACAAGACAATCATCCAAATTCTAATCCTCTAGTCGCATCCTTCTCACAAACTGCATATGTTTTCAAGATATTTTAAGCAACATTACTGCTATGTTCTTCATATTATAGCAGTTCATTTGATCACAACATTAATGAAGGTAAATTCATTCCTGTACTTGTTTTAAAATTTGTTACATAGATGCTAAATCCTATCCATAGGATATAATTTGTATTGGGGGATAAGATTTGATGGCACATCTGTTTTAGGATCTTAACAAAGCATAAAGTAATTTTGTTCTGCAAATACATCTGGATCTATGTTTCCACAACATGTAATAACCTTAACATATAAGTAATCATTATTAACTTATATATGGTAATAGTTGTTAAAATTAAACAGGATGCCCAAACACAAATTATTAACTTCCCTCACTATCTGAAACACTATAAATAAATTCCCCTAATTACCTTACAATTCACAGATACAAACTTGTACTTTAAAACATGACCTTTTTCATTCTACCAAGACCTCAGCAAAATTCTCTGAGGTATTATAATGTTTATATACAAACTTATTTCTTCCTCAGCTCATCCATATAATTCCCATCCAAATTATAAGGTCTTTCTAGATTGTTGTACTTAAACTATATGACTTTGTATTTCTCAATATTTAAAATAAATGCATGTTTTACTTCTATGAACACTCACTAAACCTATTAAGATCCTCTTCGACGGTTATAAATTATCCAATAAAAAACAGTTTAAACCAAGCCAATTATTTATCTAGTTTTTTAGCATTACCAATGAAAGCTGTTCCATAATAACTTAGTAATCAACTTACTTCCAGCAATTTACATTAAAAATGTGACAACAGAAAATGCATAATATGCATGCATATCACACATGCTTCTTGTTTGACTTCTGAGATTTGGAAGATTTTAGAATATGTCCCTAGGAGTAATTTTGAATTTTGTTTAAATCTAATTAAAAATAATGACTCGGGATAGTTCAAAAGGCATTAAAAGTTTTTTTAAAAAAATTCATTTATTCTGAATCTATGTATTTTTCATATAACACATGGTCAAGAAAGTACAGCAGATGATTTAATCAATTAAGTATGAGCAGTTAAATCAATGAATCAAAATTAAATTTTCCAATCATTACTGTTTTTGATTATTCCAATAATCAAAGTAATAAAAATATTGTTATTATATTTGCTTGTAGTTGAACATAAGGTTATCTGTGCACTGCCTAATTTTACCCTTATAAGTTTTTTTTCAAGTTCGTTAAGCTTTGTTGATTTGAGCTCATGATTCAATGGTCTCTGGTTCAATTCTCATTGCCACCAATCTCGCTCACCCTGTTTTGTTATGGAAATGCCATTAAGCTGATCTGCTATTGTCATTAATTTCAAACTGCTGACTAGAGGAAAGGCAACTCTCTAGAAGTAGCCATCACTAATTTTTTTTTTCTTCATGAACTGCTGACTAGAAGGAAGCCAACTGGTTGGCAGCACCCACCACCACCATTTTTTTCTTTTTGAATTGTTAAATAGAGGGAAGGCTGGCATCAACTATCACCATTTTTTTTAAATTGTACACACCATGGTTTGAGGAACACTGTACTAACCAATTAATTGAATATAATAGATCAATTAAACTTACTTTACATTATTAGTATTATTCATGCTTTAATTTCTCTGTACTGGTATTATTTTATATATATTGCATCACATTATCATTTTCTCTATTTCCCACCATCTTTTGCAGTTATTTTATTTAAAATTTTATCCTTAAAAAAAGAAAAAAAGGTTAATATTTCTTATAACTATTATCACACTTAAGCCTTTTATGTACTGTACACACCTCTATGACACAAACTTAACCTGACACCAACAACTCTAGGTTATGATTGGATAGTTCTCAAGGCTAACTCATATCGAACATCTGGTTTACATGATGATGACATCTGTGCCTATATATTTCATTACACTCATTAAACATAACCCTTTATTCTCCTGAAGAAGAACACTAAACTATTCAAAAGTGCTCAAGTTTTGGGTCTTGTTTGAAAACCATAGATTAATAGGATTGTCAATTAATTAATTAGCAAGTACCACTAATCACCCAGCTATACACTGACTTCATTCTAGCTCCCTTTGTTCCTTTTTCATTCTATGGAGACAACAGTTGTTCTTCCCATGGGAAGAATGGTTATAACACTGCACATCATACAAGAATGTTCACAGCCAGTGTGCTTCAGTGGTAAGCAGATGATATGTTAAAGTCATGGCCTCTGCTACATTGAATGAGAATGATCAGTCACATGGGTAGTGTTAGTTGCTATGGTTAAATCTGACACGTCGTATCAAATAAGAAACATTATCTTCAAACATTCACGCATAGGATCTTAAGTGATTTGTTTGATGCAAAAAGATTCCAGGAAAAAAGGTAAGTTTTCTAATTAATGAACCCAGTGAAATGAGATTATCTAGAAAGCAAATACACACACTGTTTTATTAGCCACAGCATAGTGGCTCATAGAATGGCTCCGAGTTTTTCAAGTACAAACTTTTAGCTCATACCTTCATCATTTCTGGACTGATTTAAGATGTAATTACAGTTTTGGGCCCAGGAGATCAAACCCTTTAAACTGATGTATTTGACCATGCCCAAGGTCTCATACATGAATTTATTCTAATCCTTCCTAAAAGAAGTTCAATTTGAGGGTAGGCTGGTAAAGATCCTGATTAGTAATAAAATCAAAATGGGTATACGTGCACCCCATGCTTGGTATTGCTAGTGCACAAAAATATAGCTAACAAAAAGGATAAAAAGGTTTCATTGATTAATTTATTTTAATCCTGTCTTAAAGAATTTCGAGTGCCACGGCTATCATAAAATGATTATTTTACTCTGGAAATATTTGTTTTTGCATTTGCTTAAAAATATATCCATTTAAGTTAAAAATTATAAAAATAAAAGTATTGAGCCTCAAATTTAATTTGAATTGGGCAACTAGTGGTATCTGCTAACTGATTAATCAACAGACCCATTAATCAATTACATTTGACAAAATGATTAGCACAGTGTTCCTCAAACCATAGTACGTACAAGTGATGGTCATGGGTGCTGACAGAAAATTGCCTTCCCATTTGTCAACAATTGAAAATTAGCATGTTATGTAGCTTTACACTTAGCAACAAACAAACATAATAATAATATTTCTATTACTTTAATATGGAGAGTTGGAATAAACAAAAACAGTAATAATTGAAAACACCAATTTTGATTAGCTGATTATTTTTGTAACAATCAATGTATCATAATTTCAATCAATAGCTGTAATAATCAAAAATAGTAATACTCAAAAACATTAATTTCAATTAATAATCGATTGGTTTAAATGACATTAATTGATGTAATCAGTGTTCATAGGTAGTTTATTAAATTGCTCAGCTCTAGATTTAATATACATCGTACCTTACTGTCAGTGTTAATTTTGACTTTTAGCGACTCTTCAAACATCTGAAACAAAATACTTTGTTTTCAAGGTTTGTTTTAAATAGATCATGCAGTCAGTAATAAAAACGTTTAATTTAATTCTGCATACCATAAAGAGCTACTTCAGTACTTTTTCAGAATACAAATTTATAAAAGTGAAATTGACACTAAGGTATACATGCCTAAAATGGGGTGTATTATAGAATAACTCTAAATATAAAACTATACAAGTTCTTAGTCCAAAAATAAGTAACTTGGGTCAGCCATACTTTTCTATATATACATGTATATGGTTTGACATCCTCTCTCAAAACTATGTTTAAAGTGTATCCACTCAGAAACAATATTATATACTGAATTTTATTGAAGATGAAAATATTAAAATATTAGCAGTGTTGTAACTAATGTTTTTAAATAATTTTCTTTCCATTTACTAATTTAGTTACATATTCAATTATTGCCAAAAAAAAATCTACTTCTGAGAGAAAAAATGACATAACAAGTGGACATAAGGAAACATTACATTATCTGAACTGGGATACTATCATACAGCATGTGAATGGGATCCAACAGACTATACTTATTACAAGTTTCTGGTGTAAGTACTTTCTTATTATACATGTTATTTGCCAAAATCATTGGAAGGCCTGTCATATGTTTATAGCAAAGAAACTGACATCGCAAATCAGTAAATTCAGAGCACTTTAGCTAACCAGGCTTTATCAGTATTTGTCTTAGAAAGGTTAAGTTTAATCCTAATTGTAACTATGACATAAAATTTATGCCCACTGCCTTTTAGTTTTACATTTGCATCACTCATATACATTGAAATTGGTCATAAAGACCAAAGAAAAAACTTTAAGATTATAAATGAGTGTTCCAAACTTGTATCTATGCTAAATGAGAAACCATAATTTCTCTTTTTTTCAGGAGTTAAATTGGGGCTGAATGGTCTGAAACTCTGTTCCTCTTTTTGAGGATTCAAGCCATTACTGTTCCTGGTCTTCTGATTGGAAGTGAAAAAAAAAAAAGACAATCACAAAGAAACCACTACCATGTTCTTTCAGCAATGTGTTGATACTAAGTGCTATGTGCAGGCCTGCATATATATAATAAAATCATGTGTCACAATTAACTTAGTTCATAAGCCTGCTGTAGTCAAGTGTCAACAGCAATGACTGAGGATAAGAAAATAAAATAAGATATAACATTTCAACATGTTCCCATGGAGTGTATATCCTCTACTGTACTATACTGTGATCAATATTGCTTCTATAAAGATGATCACAAAATAAGTACCACTTCTTTCAAAATCTCAGTTTAACCACAGCCTTCTTTGCACTTTAAGATAACACAAAACTTATTTGTAAATCTTTTAAATTGAATACTTCACCTTATAAAACATTTTTTAGACATTAAATTGTTATTTCTAAAAATAACTTTAAATACTGATTCTTATTATGTTCATTACCAAATGGCTATCTCTATCCTAATGGCACAGGCAATGTTATTTTAATGGGGAAAAATCATATACATTTAACTTTAAATTGCATCTTTGGAAAAATATTTAAAAAACATTTAGAAACTGGTTTTCTAAGATGAAGTTATAATATAAGAGTTTATAATACAAGCTTGAATCTTGTTTCTCTACAAACACAAGTGTAAAATGGTTATTTATACAATGTAACAAGTAAAAAACAAACATTAACTTTGTGCTAACATTTAACAATAACACCGTACAGTTACATAAGTTTTAACAAACAATCTCATTTCCTCTCTTCACTCAAAAAAGTCAATTTTCTACAGTACTAGAGTAAATTCTACCTTACGGCCTGTATTGTTGGAGTGCTTGTAGTAGTTCTAGCAGTAAAATAATACTAACAGGCCTGGTAGCTACTGTAATATTTTATATTTTAGTCTTACCAATCTTCGATGACATATTTCATCATAGGAGAGAAAGGTAAGGATTTTCTCTAGAAGCTCTGTTGGTAGCTTCAATATATGTACATCATCATTGTCGAATTCAGCATCCATTAGCTTCTGTAAATAACTGATGTGCAATACTTTTCAATTAATTATTCTGTAGTATATGAAAACTCTCAATATGTATAAAATTAAAATATTTATACCATATACATAATCTTGACGAAATAAGAAATTTTGGTTCCATCAACGTAAAATTACACTTGTCACTAGAGGGATACTTTCGTACACGGGATGTAGTATGTTACTCAAAATAAAAACACTTCATTATGCTTATAAATTGGTGTTTGTCAGTTAACTATTACATTAGCAAAATATGTTTTTATACACAAGTATAACTTTTCATAAATAAGCACATAATTATGTATGCATATATCACTATTATTTACGTTACATAAATGATTTAACTCTGTAAATCATCATGATCTATTCTTTGTTTTAGAACAACACCACATTTGGCTATTTCCTGTGTCCACCGTGGGAAATCGAGCCCCAGATTTTAGCGTTGAAAGTCCGTAAACTTATCACTGTCTCATCGTGGGACAATGATCTATTGGCTGTCCCAGAGTGTTTTGTATCCATCCCTGTAAAGCATTATTACTGATAATACAGAAATACTTGAAGCTAAGAATCTATTATTGCTTTATTTTCATATTGCTACACTGTTTGTAGGCGCACTTAATTTAAAAATAAGGAAAACTCAACTTGTACTTCATCTTTTTCGTGTAATACCATAACGCACCACGACGACTATATTAACATAAAAACAATTCTATGTTACTGAGATTTATTTTTTGGCTATATGGCGATTTCCATATATTGTTTTATTCATGGAAAGTGGTTTGCAGTGAGTTTTGTCTTTGTTATTTCAGTTGGTATAACATAGGTCTTAGACCTTGGCCTAACCTAACAATAATGAACATACACAGACATCTCGAGATCCTGAACCAGATATATTTAGTAAGACCTGTATATTAGTATTCACTACATATGCTTATTTATTGAATTTCGCGCAAAGTACGCAAGGGCTATCTGCGCTAGCCTTCCCTAGTTTTGAAGACATAGACTAGAAGGAATGCAGCTAGTCAACGTCACTCACCTGTAGTTCTTGGGCTAATCTTTACCAACAAATAGTAGGATTGACTCTTACTTTATAACATCCCCTACGGATGAAAGGGCGAGCGTGTTAGGCAACAGATTTCAATCCCTTTCTTTGTTCTGTAAATGATGTCTATTCTGCCTGAGGGGATATTTTGATAATATCTAACATTCGAGTTAAAAGGATTGACATTGCAATATCCTTTGCTAGCGGATTATGACGTTGACTAAATGTAACAGCCAACTAATGTTGTAAGGGAACAAAAGTCACTAGGTGACGCTGTAAAGTTGATAGAGAAAGCGAGCTTACTTGTTGAATTCAACTTCCTTAGCCAGTTTATACTAATTCAAGTGAATATTTCATTACTTCTTTTAAGAGCTGTGAAACTAAATACAGGATGGTCCGGTGCTTATGGGATTTTTCACCGATAAATACAGCTTAGTAGAAAAGACTGTCATTTCGACTGAGTAGGTATGTAAACTACGTTTTTTGTTTCTTTGTTAATTTATTCAAATTTATCCAGGCTCATTATTTATACCATTCGTTATTTTACATATCAAAGAATTCAGTCAAGTTATCTATTAGAGAAACTCAATTTCTCGATTGAATCTGTAGCTATTTTCGAGTTTGCCTAGCTGATACTTGATGGGAAATCAGTTTCACCTGAAAGTACCACAATTCTATATGTACTGTTGCGTCAGCGAGGTCACGTGACTTGTGTCACGCCACCTATTTTCTAGAACTATCCTGTTCCTTCGGGAGTGCTCTAGCATTTGTTAGATTGGGGGTGGCCTGGTATATATAAGATGGTCACGGCGTGACCTGACAATGTGTGTGTAGGTAGTGAGTAATT